CGGGATCCTCGGGATGAAGACACTTTCACCCTTGCCCTTGCCTGTCATGATTTTGGCTTCAATGACTCTGGGCATGAGCTGCTTGACTGTGAGCCTTATCCCGGGCATCGCCAAACCTTACCAGTCATTCCGAAAGGAACAAGAGCACATGCTGTCAATGCCTGCATCAAGTCGTCGTACCTCTGGAGCAAGGTCAACCGCCACAGCCTCAACACCAACATCAGGGTGCAGCTCACCGGCGATCAAGAAGCTGACCGCTTCTCTCAGCAACTGCTCGAGGTCGGCAATGGCAGACTCACCACCACAGCCGATGGCCAAGTGAAGCTGCCATTTGGGAAAGCAGCGGCGGACATGACCCAGCTCATGACCAAAGTGTTCCCAAACCTCCACCTCCGCTACCAAGACCAAGACTGGCTGAGCGAGCGAGCCATTCTTGCTCCTAAGAATTTGGCCGTCGATGATGTCAATGCCAAGCTGCTGGAGCAACTGCCTGGTGACCCAACGAGCTACAAGTCCATCGACACAGTTCTTGATCCTCACCAGGTGGTGCACTATCCGACCGAGTTTCTCAACAGCCTGGCGCCCTCAGGTCTGCCACCACACAACTTGGTGCTCAAGGTCGGCGCGCCCATATTGCTAATGCGCAACCTGGATGCTCCAAAGCTCTGCAACGGCACAAGGCTCACAGTCAAGCAGCTCATGCCCAGAGTCATTGAAGCCAAAATCATGACAGGGAAGGGCAAGGGTGAAAGTGTCTTCATCCCGAGAAATAAAATGGTCGTCGCGTCATGCTGATTGAGAATATACTTCACGGGTGACCCCCCGGCGATGCCCGGGATAAAGGAGAAAAGAGGTCGAATTTAGTCTGGCATGGCGGCTGTACTGACCTTATTGTGATTTTATGAATCTGTCGCAAGAATTTGTTCAGTTGTGCAGTGCTTCTTCGTACACAACATTCTTGGTGTTGCCATCTTCAGAGAGAATGTAGAGGTTGTCTGGGTTACCCACCCTGGAGCACCCCACATAGAGCTGGCCATGGGAAAACACTGGCTCACTGAGGTTGAGTCCAACGACCTTGAGGGACTGGCCCTGGGCCTTGTTGATGGACATGGCAAAGCTCAGCTTGACTGGAAACTGCAGCCTCTTGAAGTCAAATGGCAGGTCTGATGGGATGAGCGGGAGGCCAAAAACAATTTCCACAAAAAGGCCAAAATAACGGCCAAAAAACAAACAACACATTTCCCCCCAAAAAATACTAGCGCACCAGAAAACTTAACAATCACAGCAATCCTAGCGCTCCACTATGCACTGCAGCAGAAAAGTCAAGACGAATCCTAGCGCAGCGGAAAAGTAAATAGCAATCCTATAGCGCTCAACTATAGTCAGGCTCAAAATCAGGCAATCGCATGAAATGCCGAAACGCAAGCAATAGCACAAAACGCATGAAATAGCAGAAAAGCAGTAACCCCCAAAAAATCCCGGGCATCGCCGGGTAGCCCAGCTAGTATATATATAAAGTTGTTCAGCCGAATTAGTTCGTACTCGCATAACTAGAGAACTCTGCAGCCTAGAGGAAAACTAAAGATATTTTCAGAATCAGCACGTATGGGAGGTGGTTCTGGCTGAAACTTTATAAAGTTAAAAAGTTAAAGATTAATAAAAATTATATTCATCAATAGATGGCGGTGCGTTCAGATTAACATATTATTATTCTTATTTTTTACTGTTTGGGATGGGATGGGATGGCATGCGATGGCATGGGATGGGATAGGATGGCATGGCATGGCATGGCATGGGATGCGGTGCGATGGCATGGCATGTCATGGGATGGCATGGGATGGCATGAGATAGGATGGCATGGCATGGAATGGGATGGATGGATGGATGCATGGATGGATGCATGGATAGATAGATATAGTTAGCTTTTTTTGCATTTTCCTTTCAACCAAGTGGTCACCAACTGAGTAACGCCTCTGATTTCCCCGGGCAACGCCGGGTATACCGCTAGTCCTAAATACTTGAAGGAAGAAGGTACCGTACTACAAGTTGTCTAAGATCTGAGCTGAATGTTTAGAAATGACAAAAAAAATGTCACGTCAGTCACCGTGGAATTGCCCAAGCACGTATTTTTCAGGACTGAATACAATTCTCTTTTTGTTGAATCCAGTTTTCAGTAATTTAAGATCTCTGCTTTCTAGACATGCATGGTTGTCGATCAACGGCCAACATTTCCCTACGTTTTACAGCTAAACAATGATTATATAAAGGCGCAATACACCTTTCATGATGTCATGTTACTGTAGGGATGTTTGTTTCTTACTGGAAAGCAAGCAGTGACGGTCCAAGGAATATGGTAGAATACTGATAAATTTATTGTATATATATATGGTGCGACATACATAAGCGCAACTTGCAGTGACCGCCAAGAGCGTATTCTCCCTTCGCCACTCTCTACCTTCCTCTGTCCTCTGTAAACTGTCGCCCTTTCGCCATCCTCTCCCGATCATACCCCTTATGTAAGAAGAGGCTTCCCTCTTTGACCGCTGCATAGTCGCATCCTGCTCTTGACGAATCGCAGGCCCTATACTAAACTAGCTGTTATTGATTGGTAGTTCTTCCCCGAATTTGGTGTTGTTTGAGCAACACCCTTGCATTTGGCCCATTGCCACATCCATGGTTTCATAATTGCTTATGAATATTTACTGTTGTCACATTTATTAGAAACCGCAGTAAGGATAATTATGCCGCCAATAATATCATCTGCTAATCGGCCCAACGTCGTTATGAATTGCGTAACGTCTTTGTTTATTACCTCGTTGCCGCTCCTGTTTTGCTAGCAATCTACATCTCTATGTTACGCCATAGAGCTCGGAGGTTTTGCAACGTCACATTGCCATGTTCCAGATTTCAGATTAAAAAGCCTTGGTATCAGTACACTATTTAGTAAACTGCAGGGTTTTTTCTGAGGGAAAATTAGACAATTGAGGTAATGGCCAGTTTGGGGGGAAAAAACGTGGATAATGGATTCAAAGGCACGTTTGCGCGTCTCGACGACCTAGCAAAGCGAGCACTGCAGCTCGCCCAGCTAGGGGGGTCCGGGGGCATGGTTCCCCTGGGAATTTTGGAAAAAATGGTGCAATTTGGTTCATTCTGAGCTATTCTGAACACATTGTATGAGACTCTTGAATCTCTTTTTCAAGTTCTCAAAGAGAACAAATAAACAATGAATATGAAATGATACAAGTATTCACATTAAATAGTAATACCGTCGAAAACGAGGCGAATGCCTGGAGCGTGGCAAAGATCCGGAAGCTTCCGGTTATATTTATCTTCTCTGTATCAATGATCTTATGAATTTGAAGTTCATACATTTGAAAAATACATAATTCAACCGAAGATTAAAAAAAAGATTATTAGTTAATTATTTTTATATGCTCTCATTTGCGTTAATAATGCTTAACA